AAACAAATCTGCTTTGTAAATTTGCACCAAAAGCACAATTAAAAGAAAAGAAAAAGAAAGTCCTTGGCAGAAGATGAGCGCTTGTCCTCATCCCTCTTTATTATTTGGTTTAGTTAGTGCGTAGCCATGTCCAGATCCTGGAACAGGGTAGAGATTGAATTAAGACTTTATTTTCCTGGATCTTTTCTTGTAAGGTTGCCCCAGTCTGGCTCTTGAGTCTACCATGGGAAATTTCATTCTCTCCTGGAGTACTATAACTTCTCTCTTCATTCATTCTTTCTAGCCTAAGTGTTTTAACAGCACTGCTGCTTCTAAGCCTGAGTTACTACATTGGGCTTTGTGGTTCCTCTGTATCTCAACCATGACTTTGAAAAATATCTCTTTATAAAGAAACTTTTTTCAGATTATCCTACTTAGATGTGCCATTTTTTTAAAAAGACATTCCATATGTATCTGATTATTTAGTATATCTGCTTGTTGCAGATATTTCTCTCTGGTTACTCTTGTGGACTCCACTTTTTCAAAATATGTTTGGAGTTTTTCTCTTAGCACAAGAGGCCATAAGAAAGAGCTGCAGATTGTAGACCATTTTCATAGGATATATTCAGTTTCCACCCTCTCAACACCTCCTTTTTTGAGAATTGAATAAATCAATCAGTCATGTGCAACTATTCTAAATACATTTTTGGAAGGGGAGGCTTGGGCATTTCTATATAAGAACAGATATTTACTTATATTTGGATCCTTTCTGTGTTCCTCAGAAGGTGAAACTTTCAAACTACACATTTTTTTATTTTCCTCTTAGAAATTACCAATAAATTCATATTGTTCATGCTCCAAAGAGAAGGAGGAAATATTCTTACCTTACAGATTTTTAACTGACTTTTAATCGCTGTTGGATCTGATGTGGTGGTGGGTTGGGATTTCAACCAATTTTCAGCTGTAGTTGTCATCTGTTCCAATTGTTGTAGCTGATTGTAGAAAGTGATGATGTTGTTCTGATACTCCAGCCAGTTAAGTCTTTCACTCAGTAACTGGCAGAACTCATCCCACCGGTTGTTCAGTTGTTCTGAAGCTTGCTTGATACTATCAGCATTAACACCCTCTAGAAAGAAAGATGTTTAAAATACACCCACTGAAGACAAAAACTGCAAAGCAAATGATCAGAAAACAAACAGATCTCAAGTCTAAAAGCATTCATTACAAGAATGATTTCAAACAAATGTTATTTTCTGATAAAAAAAGTAAAAGTAATAAAATGATTTATAATTTGTGACTGCAAATTATTAGAGTTGCATCTTATGAAAGAGCATGAGTGATATAAAAATATAAATGAGGATACATAGTTATAGAAGAGTTGAATATATTTAATTAAAACAATTAACATTGATATTATTAATATGTACCTATGAAAACTAATTTCCATTTTTATTCTTGAAAAATGGTTTGGGGAGTTAAGTTAAATATTAGTATTTGCATGTATTTTCAAAGAGGAAAAAAGTGAGAATTTATCAAAGATTAATAATTCTGTTTCCACTCTAGAAGGCCAGAAATGAACAGATTGTCCATGGGGCCCAAGGAAGTGAAACAAGCAATATTGATTTTTTTCATTTACAAATGTGGAAGTACATCTAAAAATGTAAATATACACACACACACACACACACATACATAAAATAAACCCTAAAGATGCTCTGGTAGCATAGTGGCTAAGGCACTTGACTGCTCACCAGATGGCTGGCGGTTCAAACCCACCAGCCACTCCCCGGAAGGAAGGTTGGGCAATCCTACTTCCGTAGTGATACTGCCTCGGAAACCCAAGGAGGGGTCGCTATGAGTCAGGGCCGACTCGACGGCACATAACAACAACAACAACAAAGATGCTCTGGTGGTGTAGTATTTAAGGCATTTGGCTGCTACCCAAAAGGTAGATGGCTCAAACCCACAAGCTGCTCTGCAGGAGAAAGATGTGTTAGTCTGTTTCCATAAAGATTTACAGACTTGGAAACCCTATGGGGGTCGCTATGAGTTGGAATTGACTCTATGGCAGTGAATTTGGTTTTGATATAAAGCCTAACATAAGGAAAAAAAAAATCTATCAAAGACAAAATGTAAACACAAGCTCCTCAGTATCATCCTTACCCTTCTGGAGCACCTACTACATACCAGGAAATCAATCAGATTTATTCATGTATAGTATCTCATTAAAAATTTGTGATATTGTATTATATGATTAATGTCAATCACAGTACATATTATCCTATAAATAGTATGAGAAAGTATAGCAACACCATCTAATGTGATGGCTTAAAATATTCAAATGCTTTAAACTTAGTTAAAAAATTTTAGACTTTCTTAGATATATTAATATATATGCAGTGACTTCCAAAATTAATGATGTTACATAAAGAGGAAAAGAGAGGTTAAAGATGTTATTATGAGTGCTAAAACATACCTGTGTTAGCACTGATAGTTTTTTTGTATTTTTATATTATTGAATATTTTAATGTATCCTATTCTGGCATCTATCCACAGAGATTTTACAAGAGAGTATAAGTTTACTATGAGATGCTTTTTCTAAATTAAAATATCTAAGGAGTAAGGTGATTTAGTAAGCTGTCTAACAGAACAAGTAAATTATTCAAAATTCTGAAGAATAGCTAACATAAAACCTGTGGGTTTCCTAAGTTATGCATGCCTCCCACTTTATCCTTTGTAAAGATCAAAATAAATGTGGATTACAATTCAATAACTATATATTTATCATCTTTCATATTCACCTGCTCAGATTTTTAAATTTTCATGTTGTTGTGATCATCTTATACTGCCACACTGTATCTATCATTTCATTTGAAATATGACTCTAACTCTATTAATGTCAGAGTATGACACTACACAGGATGATACTATTATGTTAGGTGCCATTGAGTCAGCTCCGACTCATTGCAACCCTATGTATAATACAATGAAACACTGCCCAGTTGTGCAACATCCTCATAATCCTTGCTATACCTGAGCCCATCATTGTCATCACTGTGTCAATCTATCTCGTTGAGGGTCTTCTCCTTTTTTGCTGACCCTCCACTTGGAAGGTGGAGAAAAGAGGATGACAATGGGGGAAAAAATTGCAAATATTGCCGACAACTATTTTTTTCTTCTTTCTGTAGTTGATAAACTTTTAAAGAAAAAGTTGAAAAAAAAAGTGTTTTGGTTCTCTTGTGCTCCTCCAACAGAAAATACCACAAGTGGATGGCTTTAACAAACACGGATTTATTCTCTGAAAGCTTAGTAGGCTAGAAATCTGAGTGCAAAGTACCAGCTCCAGAGGCCTGGTGAAGGCCCCTCGACCTTGGGCTTTAGCTCTGCCACTTTCTCCCAGCCCAGTGGAGCTGGAGGCATCTCTTAACTCAGGCAGCTTTGGGCTGCTGAGGCTGACAAACCCAACATTGAAAAGTAAAATGGCACAGTTCCAATATTATCAAGCAACATGGAAGGCCACTAGTTCAAGTTCAGAAATAGTCCCAAGATTGGCATGCAACATGTCAGACTACTGAATGAAAACTTGGCTATATGCAGGGTCCAAGCCTGCCAAAAAGCTCAAGATCTTTCTCAAACTGTCTTCATATATACTGGAACCAGAAACATCCCTAAAACAGCTACTCAGCTTCTCACAGTAGATGCCACCACGGAGTTGATGACCAGTCTCATCATGGGGAATGACTACATCTAGCTGCCAAGCCACTCAAAACCAGGCCCAGCCAAGTTGACACATAGCCATAACTACAACAAAAAGTGTAAGAAAGATAACATATTCATGTCCCTGTATATCAAGCTACAAAAAGAAGTCCATGGTTTCCCAGAGCTAAATATTCTTCTAATACTCTCCTAATACTTAAAGAAGCAATTGTCCTTATTGAAACATCTGAATGTGTGGCGAGTATGCTGTTTGTCATAAGTTAGTTTTGAGAAATGATCAATAATTATGCCAAAATATATTTTTGGAGATGCCATTAGTAAGTACACTTGTAAAATGATTAAGTTTGCTACAAAATAGAAGAATCCACAACTTCAGTCATATAAAAAAACTAACAAACATAGGTATTCAATTTGAGAAAAATAATATGGTGGTCAAATGTTAACATTATTGATGAAAAATAGATAAGCATAATTTCAAAAATCACAGAGAGAAATATTAGCATTACGTTTGGTCATGTTTAGCAACATGTCATGGGTCTAAATGAGCAAATGTTTAGGAGAAAATTATTTTAGCCTATGTTGAACTTGAACAAAACTTAGAAGAAAGAAGTCCATGATGAGTGACAAGTCAATATAAACCAGGCATGAGGTAGGCAAGTGTATGATGAGTCTTATTTAGCATTTGCCAGAATGATAAGAGAGCACAGATAGCAATCTCTCTCTGCCCCTGAAAAATATCAACTATAGGAAGAGTTTAGTATTTGAAAAAATGAAGCCATAAGATAATTCTCAATATTATTAATCTATAATTCAGTTTTTGAAGAAAAATATTTAATGAAACATTTATTGAACATGTAAATGAAACTATTAATCTATAATAATTTAATTAGTCAAAAGATAAACTGTAATAAAGTACACATAAGAGTTATTTAGCATTGTTTATACAGAGTTTATACAGTTATTTATTAGGATCTAGGGATAAGTTTTAATGAGTCATTGTTGATCATTAGCAAAAGTTATAAGCTCAATATGTTGTGCCAAAAAATGTTGAGATGCTAAACACCACCATAAAGGGAATTAAATAAGAAAAGTCAACTTTGTGCAAACCAAAACACTATGAAATTTTTAGTAATCTCTATTTATTATTCTATTGATTTGTATAACTTAATAAAGGCAAATATATTGCAATGATGAGAAACAGAGGACTTCTATATTAGGATAACAAACCCACCAGCCACTTCCCAGAAGGAAGGTTGGGCAATCCTACTTCCATAGTGATACTGCCTTGGAAACCCAAGGAGGGGTCGCTATGAGTCGGATTTGACTCGATGGCACATAACAACAACAACAACAACAGGGGAGAAGGGAAGACAAATACAAAAGTCATCAGAGATCATTCTGATATTCAATGCATCTGAGTTCAAACTTGACTCCTCCCCATTGTATGTGGGTGAGCTGGGGTCATTTATTTAATCCTATTAGGTCTCATTTTTCTCATTCAGGAAATGAGAGGGAAAATTGAATAAACATCATGGCTTTACGATCAGGGCTCTAAGAATTAATGTAAATGAAGTATATGAATTACTTGCACATAGTCTGAAACATACCAGACAACCAATAAATATTACCAGTTACCAGTTGCCATGAAGTTAATTCCAACTTCTGGTGACCCTGTGTGTGTCAGAGTTGAACTGTGTGCCATAGGGTTGTCCATGGCTGATTTTTTAGAAGTAGATCAACACGCCTTTCTTCCAAGGAACTTTTTGGTGGATATGAACCGTCAACCTTTCAGTTAGCAGCTGAGTGCCTTAACTGATTGTACCACCCAAGTACTATGTTAACATAAAGGAAATAAAAAAAATAATATGTAATAAAAAATAAAAGAGGGCTGATGCCTCAAATGTTGAAATTTGAAATGAGAGGAGACCTTTTAATGACTGAAGGAAGTCATTTAGGAAAAAACCAAGCTCCAATATCTTTATAATTATTGCTAACTTAATAGAGATATGAAATTAATGTTGAGTATAGAAAGTATAGGTATAAAATTTGAAAAGAGGTTATATCAATAACCAGTGATGCTTTCATAAGAGCTTATTAGGGAAATGTGGAATATTTGCTAATTCATTTGTAATCACTTTATGTTGAAATTAAATATGACAACCATGCCAAAAATTAAAAACAAGAGTTTCTGGATTTCATTGACAAAGATAGAATATTGACCTCTGATAATCAGGAGTGTTATTATGAAAGATTTCTATGTAAATATTGTATTAATTCATGAATGAATATACCAAAACAAAAACCAAACTTACTGCTATCGAGTCAATTTTGACCCCTAGGGACCTCCCATTGGGTTTCCGAGGCAACCCATCTGCCTTCCTTGGAGCAACTGGTGGATTCGAACCGCCA